CCCCGCGGCCGGCCCGGCTCTCCGCACTCCCCGCGCGCCCCGCCCCGCCGTACGCCTCGCCTTCTCGGCTGGCGACTGCGAAGACGAACCGCTTCGTTTTTGTCGGGCGCTTTCGCCTTTCCGTCTTCACTGTGGGTTTGCTGTCCCCACGGGGAAGGACTTTCCCGCCTGCTCAGCGTGCGATCGTCCAGGCTGCGGCTTCGTTAGGGAGCGCTGAGGGCGGCCTCGGTGGCCTCCTGGAGCTGATCGTTCGGTGGGGTCTTTTGTCCCCGTGTCCCCCGCCCCTCTGAAACGTTTATGAAGAGCGAGTGTTTGATGTTTACGAAAGACCTGGGCTTTGATAAGGACCGAGGATCACGCGCCGTTGTCATACTGTACTGCGAAGACGCTTGTGATTCCCCAGTACGTTAACTTGCTCCCCGTAGGCAGATAAACCCACCGTGGTTAGTAGCTGCAGTGGCAGAGCTTCCTTCCTTTTCGGGGAGCGAGGAGCCAAGGCTTGACGTACTGGACGGTCGTGACTCCCTGCTTCCAAAACGGGACTCCGGGGCCCGCCAAACTGACCAAGCTTTCTTTCGGCCGCCGACTGCTCCTGGGCCCGGCCGCTGCGTTCGTCAAACTCAGGTTCACACTTTAGGGATCTCTCTGGATTGCAAGTTCTGAAGAATCTGGAGGAAAGGGAAATATACTTCGTAGATTTCTAGAACTAGAACCCTGAGCTTTACAGAGTATCTGTCTACTGTGAACACTGCTTATGAGAATCGTGTGGGAGCTGTATGAACTGTTTTGAAGGGGAGTAAAGGGCCTGAAAGCGCTGGTGTGTCTGGAGGGAGTGGGCCACCGACCTGAAGGCAGGACCTCCTTCCCCCTGGGGCGAGGGCGGGGCCTGCAGGGCTGAGGGGGAGGTCTAGGTCTTGGGCAGACTTTTGCCATTGGGTGGTACAGCTTTCAAGACAAATAGGAAAGCCTCATACACCTGCAGCGGGTAGGGGGAGGGCAGGTCCTGCCTATGTGAACTCCCCTCTTCCCCTTCGTTTAAAAGTGCGCAGAAGTCTGGGTCTTTCAGGTGAAGGTTCTGTGGAGGGTGAAGAAGGCTAAGGTGCTGAAGGACATGTGCAGATTAAAGCATTTCAAAGTACATCTTTTCATGGAAGATGAGGGATGACCTTTGGTTTAAATGAAATTTTAAAGTGCTGTCATTAAGAAAAGCACATCAGTGTAGAAATGTGGACGATTTTATGGGAAGGCACTGTTCTGATTAGACTTGAGAATGTCTGCCCCTGGCCAATTAGGCTGGAGCTTCTGTGGGTAGAGCGCTGCTCCTTTCATGTCTCCCCCTGCGGACCCAGCCTGGGAGGACAGCAGCCAGAGTAATTGAAATCAGACGGGGGTCTGTCTGAGAGCACTGCTGCAGAGTACAGCCTTGGATACTGCGTGGGGTTTCTTCATAGTCATTTGTGAAAACGCTTTGAAAAATGCTACAGCAGTACACTGTATAACACAAGACCTTTAAAGAATAATGATGTGAAACAAGGGGAGTAGTACTGAAAATCGGATTTTTCAGGCTAATAAGTTAAACTTTGTTAAACTTCCTACTATTTCCGATACAAAACTCACCCGCATCTACACTTCTTTATGTGTTGTGGCTGTCTGTGCTTTAAATGCATATGGAGGGTCAGATCAGGAACTTCTGAATGTTTTAAATAATCCTTCTGGTTTTGAAGGCTTCTTGTGACCAAGAGTTCAGGAGGTAATACAGTCCTTGAAAAGCAGGGGATGGCATGGAGGTCAAGCAAGAAGACATATTTGATTACAGTGTTTGTTGGAAATTGTTGTCTGAGGTTGTTGAGGTTTTTCTGTTTGCCTAGTGATTTTGTTTTTTTTAAATTTTGTTTTGTCTTGGAGGAGAGGCACAATGTAAATCCTGGCCATCGTGGTAGGTCAGCACACAATGTGCTGCAAGGAAGCCACTTCTGCTCCTGGGCTTTGTGTTGGCACCAGGCTCCTGTCACCTCAGAAGCCCTGGACTTAGCTTTGGTGCTACAGTTACTCCAACCTCTCAGGCCAGAACTGTGGGGTGTTAAAGGGGCTCACATTAGGCACTCTTCCCACCCTTTATAGGAGGAATGGGCAAGTCGAGTGGTTGGAAATCTATCCCGGTTAAGATTTTGTAGAATTGGAGGTAGCTTTAAAAACTAGTCAATGCCCTATATAGTGTGTGTTTAAATCTGTGTTGGGATCTCACTGGTCAGTACTATGGCAATATCCTTTTTTTTTTTTGTCATTTTGAGTAAAATGTTTGTAGTTTACTTGTTTTTCTTTTAACTTTTAATTTTGAAATGATTTGCATTCATAGGAAGTTGCAAAAATAGTAGAGAGGTCCTGTGTACCCTTCACCCACTTTCCCCCACTGGTAACGTCTTACATAACCACATTATAATAGCAGATCCAGAACACTGATGCGATACAATCCTCAGAGCATATTCAGATTTCACCAGCTTTGCAGGCACATATTTCTCTATGTGTGTGTGTACTGTACCGCAATTTTTCACATTTGAAGATTTATGTTAACCAGTGCTACGGTGAAGATACAGAAGTATTCCATCACTTCAAAGGTCTCCCTGGTGCTACCCATTTAGAGCCCCCACCTTCTTTACCTTTTGCTGCAGCCCCTCTGCCCTTGAATGCTTGGAGTACCTATCTGTTCACTACATCTATAGTTTTGTCAACTTGGTAGCACTGTATAAACAAAACCATACAGTGTGAGACTTTTTGAAATCAGGTTTTCACTCTGAATGGTGTCCTTGAGATTCATTTGAATTTTTGCTTGCTGAGTTGCATTCCATGGTATAGATGTACTATGGTGTAACCGCTCACCTACTGAAGGATATCTGTATTGTTTCCAGTGTTCAACTATTAGACATAAAGTTTCTAGGAATATTTGTATACAGATTTTATATGGACAAAGTTTTCAC